CGCTCAAGCAATCGGGCGTTTAGATGTCCACATACCATATCTGGGCTCGGCTATCCTCGGCAACAGCAATTTTGTTCCATACGAGGGAATTAAGCGCTGTCCCGAGGACCGAGGGACGTGCGATAAGAGAAATTTGGGATGATTGTCCCCGATCCCTCTCACACATAGTTGGATTACCATGAAACTTAGGCGTGCAATGCCTTGTTGTGTACCATACATGATGGCATTGTCCGATATGGGCTGCACAGGTAGGGGATGGTTTGGGATGAGCGACAACATTTGACTGTCCCGAGGACCCGTGTATGACTGTATGAGCATCAGAGAACGTTCGACAATGTTTGACAATGGTTAGAGCAGACCTTGGCTCTCTCTCCTCTATCGGTACTCTGTGCATCAAACACAGCGACGGATCTCTTGAAGATATGCGCCCCATTCATGGGGCTGGTGAAAAGCACGCCATGTGGGAATTCCGATAAGGGGACATCTTCATCCAAGGCACCAGAGAAGACGCATGTGTGATTGTCTCTCTTCGAGACCTACACCTGGGTGAAAATTTGAGGGACTGAATATGTAAGAATAGACTTGCCTTCTCTTTCAGGGAACCACCCCGCGGAACACAGTCCTCTGTCGACGAGAGTTGCAGTTTCCTTGAACGTAGGAGTTGCGTTCTCGTTATGCTGCTGCCTTCCTGGGAAGTCGGGTTGAGCATTAGCGTAAACTGGGTGAACGTGTCAACGCGGTGACACATATGATCGCGAAGGGAGCTTACACGGCCAAAGTAAGAACGCGACCCAAGTGGACGCTAGGTCTGACAACCTTTGGGCAAGAGCTTCACTCTTGACATCCAAGTTTGTCGACGCTCTTGCACCATTAGCGCACGCACAGATTGCTGCGGAGACATAGCGCTTCCCTCCTTTCAGCTTCAACTCACTTGCGGTGTCGTACATCGCCGAAATGAAGTTCAGCACGCTGAATACTTTCTTTCCCCGCTCTCCCTGTGGAGTTCTGTAGGTCTGCATCCATTCTGGCGTGTTGTAATAGGATAGAGGGAAGTTACGGAGAAACTCGAGGTGCTTCTGCGCCCTGGCGTATAGTGTATTATCGTCGAGCATGGAATTGTAGATGAGTTCTTCAACTGACTCGCCGAGACCTGGGAACTCAGAAAAGAGACCAAAGCTCCTTGTTGATGTGGGAGAGGCAGGATCTGAAGAAGACAAAGAGTGGACAAGGTCAGGCTCGTCGTCGACGTTCGGTGGGCTCTGCGGGTTCGGCGCGGCCGGCTTGCGCGGAGGTGTCTGCGGCTGCTGTCTCGGGGGTGGCTGTGGCGGGTCTTGTATGTGGGAGCTAGACAAGCGATCCGACAGGCTTGTCAAGCTGGAAGAGTCGGAAGCAGTGCGTGCATGGCTGTCGGTCGACATTGGAGTGAGGGACTAGCCACGCGGGGCAGTGAGCTGGAAAGCAACGATACCCTGAATCCTCTGTCCTTATCACTGTAATCCATGATATGGATGGAACTCCGCCTATTGCTGCCATTTGAGTTGGTTCATCCCATTCCGATGGACTGAGGACAAAAGCCGCTTTTGTCCCGATCACGTTCGTGTGCTCAGTATGGGTAGCCTTGACCAGCCTGATATCTGATCTGTCTATATCGATAGTATAGATCGCATAACCATAGCAAGGATATCAGAGGTTGTGGGTGGAGAAAATCCTCATGTAAACAAAGAAGAATCGGTGAATGAACAGATATGCAATTACGACATACCTGCTAGCGGATTGTATGGAGCCAAGGGCGTCAGATATGCGTTAGCGGGTCTCCCTGTCTTGACGGTACTCTTGTAGACACTACAACGAGGTGCGCGGACCTGAGGGTTATTCGCCCTTGCAGGTCTGCAGACCTCCCTTGCCCGTCTCAGACCTCCCTCTCCCCTGACACACGTGATACGGTTAGAGTTTTGGTTAGGGTTCGGTTAGGGTTTGGGGTTTGGTTCGGGTTGGGCCTCGTCCACATCTTCCACCCCACAGGGAGGCCGTCTGTACTTATCGCGCGAACGGGGCTTTAGAGTGCCCGCCTGAGTGCTCTCGGGGGACCCCCCCGAGCGCAGCGAGGGAGGGGCGGGAGCACGAATGGCGGGTCCTCTTCGCGCAGCGCTGGATGTTCTTGAACTACGCGCCTTACATAAGACTTTTCTACCAGATATGGGCTTGCGTCGCATCGCGCTGGGGGGATTAGGGCCGCTCAATTCTTGAGGACGCAGGACGCAGGACGCAGGACGCGTTCAGAGGCCATTGATGGAGGTGATGGGCTAAGCGAGACTAGCCGACGAGCTCGCCTTCGAAACCCCTCGAGCGACGATAACACTCATCCCCCCTCACAAAGTGCCTCAAGGGTAATGTCAATCGACGCGGAAAGCCTTCGTCTTCAACATACTCGCGATTCATATTTTTCTGTTAGGTTTGGGACACGACAGACCCCTTGGAAAACAACGAGCACAAGAGATGAGGTTGGTACCTTGCCATATGCGGCAGGTTCGGCTAGCCCATCACATCCATCAGTTGTGCTCTGAGTGCGTCCTGCGTCCTGCGTCCTCAAGAATTGAGCGGCCCTATTGCATTCACTTGCACCCTAAGGAACACCACATTCCTTGTTTGATTTACCCGTCAAAGTTTGATGCGCTCGTAGGGTGCCCCATCACTTTCTCGCTCTTGTAACCAATCACTAGCCCTTGTTCTACGTGAGGGAGGTCTGCAGACCTGCAAGGGCAAATAATCCTCAGGTCCGCGCACCTCGTTGTAGGCTACTCTACTCTTCATATTGTTATGATTTCTGCCTCCAAATCCTGGGCTAGGAAATGATACGCACGTGATGTATTAGCAGCTGCGTCTGCATTTCTGTTGGCTGCTTCAGTGACGAACTTTGGACGAGTGCTACCATTTTGAATTACCCACCACTCGTACCCTAGTTTTCACTACATATGTTCGTGGCAGATTCGGCCATATAGCGATGAATGATGAGTTGTTGATAGCATGCTGTACCTGTATGCAGATATCGATTAAGGACGATGGAACTCCGAGTCGATACGGGTTTCGAGACAAGATGGACCTGAGCCCGAGGCACGACACTCTGAGGTTATGTACTATGCAGGCATTTAAATCAACTTTCGGCTGCGTTTACGAAGCAGATAAGTTGCACGATGAAGTAGAAGGCTGGATCGACGAAGTGGACGCGTCCGCTTAGGAGTGAAAAGCAGAAACATCGTAACCGTAGCGATTTGTACAAGCGCCCGTCACAACGGAGGATGTAATCGAGGCGTGGCAATTGGGGACAGTGACACCGTGGCGTTTGTCTTCCTACTTCGTTGCAGTCGTTCAGCTCAAGAGTTTCCCGCCCTCCTCATCGACATGTCGCTCGATTACGCCCTTGAAGACAGTTTCAATGTCGAAGTGGAACGGCTCCTGAATGACCCCGCCGTTTCTGATATGGCTTTACGTAGCCAAGCCCAAGAATATCTGCAGGTCTATGACGAACCATCATTCGTTGAAATCGACGTTCCTCAGTGGGTTCGCCGCATCCAGTCGCATACGAGATTGAAGATCAAGTATACATCGAGGCGACTGTTTGATACGATGTACGAGG